GGCACCTTGCAGCCATCCTTATAGACCTCCATGTTAAAATGTCCAACTTTACAGCAGAAAAAACGTTTTTAGAGCCTCATGCAAAACATGATTTTGGTCTCGATCGCCAACCTACGCATTCACAACAACTGTACGATGGTGTTCATTTTCATATAACTCACCTGTTTAAAGTGAATTTAGGCTTAAACCTGCGCACAGTTAAGGGCACAACCAGGAGTTTGAGGGAATCTGGCACTGCAAAGGGGGATGTAGCTGAACACTGACCACAGTGATCATTAAAACCGATGTTAAGGAAACCAATGATGTCCATCTTTATACACAGATAAAATTAAATGTATTCATATAGCATGTTTAAAACAATCCAAACCAGGATAAGTGGAAGATAATGAGTGGATGGATGGTCCTTTGATTCAGCATTAAAGTCACGGGCCAGTACTGTCCAAAAATACTGAAAGAGAACTCACGTCTTCTGTCTGGGCAGTTCTTCATTAAAGTAAACCATTCAGTTTAATATAAAATGGGATCAACCAGTTTAACAACAATATTATTTTTATATTTATTACCAGGGTTCCTTACACTCAAGTCGGTTTAACTTTTGACTACCTTCTCTCTTCTGCAGAATCCAGATTCCTACAGTCCGTTGAGGAGGACAACATGACCAAGCAGCCGGGGGTCAGTCGCACTTTTCTCCTTTTGATTTATTCCATGACACACGCAAAACCTTATGCTAAGAGTTTTCTTTTTCTCTTTGGCCAAATGACTCTCACGCCATCTGCAGCATCCATAAACGACTAAATCACTTAGAAGGGGAGAAAAAAAAAGTAAAAAAAAAAAAAAAAGTGTATGCTCTTATTTTGTGGGAGCTCAAGCCAGAGCTTCTTCTGGCACCTGCCATCAATTACCCGCCAGCTAACAAAGAAAACTGCCTTCATGCAGATTTTGTTTGAATGTGCTGACTCAATGCTACACAGAGTGCTTGGCCTGCAGTTTGATGTTAAGTGTGTTATATCTCCTGGGAGCTGCCTGTTGTGACGAACTACTTGCCCTTGCTGGGACGCAGTGTTTGTCAGTAATTGGGCTTCATTTTGAGTGTGTGAGTACGTGTGTGTGTGTTGGCAAAGGCCTGATTTAATACCTTAAAACACTTAAAATCTAATGCATCTTTAAACCCAGACAAATTTTACTTTTTGCTAGTTTTTACCCCTCAAGTGTGTAACTGTCTTTGTTTTTCTGTATGTTTGTGCAGAACTTGCGCTGGATGGCTCCGGAGGTGTTCACCCAGTGCACTCGCTACTCAGTGAAGGCCGACATGTTCAGCTACGCCCTCTGTCTGTGGGAGCTGCTCACCGGAGAGATTCCCTTCGCTCACTTGAAACCTGGTCATTTTTCCCTCAAATCAGTCCATAAAAAACATACCTGAGGCATTGATGTCATCCATTAGCTTGAATTTTTACAAAGAGTTCTGATCAGATTGACCAAATGGTGTTTTCACCCCAAGAGGAAGAAATTTAAGACAAGTTTCAGATGTTTGACACTAAAAATGAATTCAGTAAATGAAGCAGGTTGAGGATGAGTTTGGATATTTACAGTTGTGATCAAAGCTATACATATATTTGTAAAGTCTTTAGTTACTGATGACTCCTTAACTTTTGTGCACAACTATACGCAATGACTTCGATAATACTCACAATGTTCACTAGCAGGAACACAAAGTACACATACACTCAAACTGAAAACAAATTCAGAACATCCATCCACCCATCCATTATCTATACACCGTTTAATCCTCACTAGGGTCATGGGGGGCTGGAGTCTATCCCAGCTGACTCAGGGTGAAGGCAGGAAACACCCTGGACAGGTCACCAGTCTATCACAGAAATCAGGAACAGTACAAGAAAAAATGACAGAACACAAACACAGATGAATGATTCTTGTCAGACAACACTGGACCATTTTGCAACAACATTTAAAATGTTCTTCTGTCCTCAGCTGCTGCAGCAGCAGATATGGCCTATCACCACATCCGGCCTCCTATTGGCTACTCCATCCCCAAACCCATCTCTGCACTTCTGATGAGAGGCTGGAACTCCTGCCCAGAGGTAAACAGCAGGATTTCACCTTTTCTCCTCAAGTTCTTCATAACTTTAATCATCAGAAGATGGAACTCTTGTTCTATACTTTAGACAGTAACACACCAAGTAGCTGCGCCACACAGCGTGCACTCAGCTGGAGACCTCTTCATAGTACTAAACTGTAAAAGTACTCATATAATCATCCATGTCATTAGCTGTACAGACGTACTGAAGCTCTGAGAGGCAAGCGATGCTGAGTCAGCTGCTCCTCCGGTGCACATGCAGCAGTAATGACTGAGAGAGGCCGATCCCCAGATGATACATCTTGCATGGCTGTTCACATTCAGGAGCACACAGGACCTGGATGATCCTCCCTCTGTGCTGTGATGCTCATAATTAGTCCGGGATGTTTTCTTCTCGGCCTCATTAAGATACATTATTACAGGGCAGAGCGTGCTGACACATTTCTCCCTCAGCGGTACATCTCTGTCCTGTTTACCTGTTTGCCAGGTTCTGTATGTCCCCCTTTGCGATCGTCAAGGGCCACAATAGGTCACCACAAGATGTTCTGATCATGCATGAGAGCATGTGTTAAAGTCTGGCAAAACCTGAGTGCCACAGATTTTACATCAGATAAATATTTGGCCACATTGACCAGAAACATGTTCGGAGGAAAGAAGGTGAGGCCTTTAACCCCAAGAACATCAAACCTACGGTCAAGCATGGGGGTGGCAGTATTATACTTTCAGGAAAAACCTAAAGTCATCAGTCTGAAGGTTGGGTCTCGGATGCAGCTGGGTGTTCCAACAAGACAATGACCCAAAACATACATCAAAAGTGGTCAAATAATGGCTAGATCGGGCTAGAATTAAGGTTTTAGACTGGCCTCCCCAAAGTCCAGACTTAAGCCCCATCAACAACCTGTGGACTGTGATAAAGAAACAAGTCTGTGTCAGTCTGGATTTTTTTTTTTTGGCCTCATTAAGACACAATATTACATGGCAGACCATACGGAAACATTTCTCTCTCAGCAGTACAGTCTCAGCAGATGTGTCTCTCTTTGTTATTCATTTTTTATGACAACAGTTTATTAAACAAGAGCCACAACAGGCTACCGCAAGATTTTACGTGGATGTATGAGAATATTTGTTGAAGTCTGGTAAAGTTTTAGTGTCACAGATTTTACATCAGAAAAATACTTGTTTGGAGGAAAGAAGGTGAGGCCCTTAACCCCAAAACATTAAACCTACGGTCAAGCATGGCGGTGGCAGTATTATGCACTGGGGCTGTTTTGCTGCCAGTTGAACTTGTGCTTTACACAAAGTAAATTGAAGATCAAAAAAAGGAGGATTATCTTCAGGAAAAAACTAAAATCATCAGTCTGAAGGTTGGGTCTTAGATGCAGTTGAGTGTTCCAACAAGACAATGACCTCAAACATATATTAATAGTGGTAAAGAAATGGCTACATCGGGCTAGTATTAAGGTTTTAGACTGGTCTTCCCAAAGTCCAGAGTGGGTCACTTGTTTGTGTAGATGTCTCCCTTTGTTATCAACTATTTATTTATTTTATGGAACAAGAGCCACAATAGGCTACCAGAAGGTTTTACATGAATGCTTGAGAATATTTGTTGAAGTTTGGTAAAGTCTGAGACAAATGCTTGGGCATGTTGACCAGAGATACGTTAGGAGGAAAGAAGGTGAGGACCTTAACCCCAAAAACATTCAACCTACTGTCAAGCATGGCGGTGGCAGTATTATGCACTGGGGCTGTTCTGCTGCCAGTTGAACTTTACACTGCGTAAATGGAAGAACAAAAAAATGAGGATTATCTTCAAGAAAAACCTAAAATCATCAGTCAGAAGGTTGAGTCTTAGATGCATTTGGGTGTTCCAACAAGACAATAATCCCAATCAAAAGTCTGCTAAAGCCTAGTGCCACACATTTTACATCAGTGACAACTGTGTGGTTTAAAACTGCACAATGTTCTTCTTAATAGGCTCTTAAATTCACCACAGTCACACTCCTATAAAAGACCAAACCAAACTGCTGTGAAGTGTTTTTTTTTTTTCATAAAGCAGTAATGAATTGATTGCTCTCAAACACCAGGAACAATAAAACAGGAAATTAGAGACGGAGTCAAAATGAGAGGGATTTAAAAGTTTCTGTTTTCTTAATATTTTACCTCATTTTTTTTGGTTTGTTTATTGAAACGCTCACAGGCCACAGCGACTGTCTGAGGATGTGATGTATAATTGAACAGCTCTGGGGTGGCTCTGTTTGTTCTTCTACAGCGAGGCAGCAGATCTAAGGCCGGCTTTTTGAAGCAGAGTTCACCTTTGCTTCGTGTGTGGGTGGACTCAAACAAGGCAGAATATACAGGGAGTGTCGCAGACAATACACCTGTGAGTGTGTTTAGGGATGTACCTGATGCATGTGAAGCAGACATAATTACTGTTTGCTCTTTTATGATTTTAGGACAGGCCCGAATTCTCTGAAGTGGTTTCCAACCTGGAGGAGTGCCTGTGCAACGTGGAGGTATAGCATCACGTCTGTCATCTGCTTTACCGCTGGAACACACGTTTTAATAGAAATGGTGGCGTTTCTGTGTCTCAGCTGATGTCTCCAGCCTCCAGCAACAGCAGCGGCTCCCTGTCGCCCTCCTCGTCCTCCGACTGCCTGCTCGGGCGAGGAGGACCCGGCCGGAGCCACGTCGCCGCCCTGCGATCCCGGTTCGAGCTCGAATACGCTCTCAACACTCGCGCCTACGCCTTCTGGACTCAGAGGTAGGAGAGGTCCAGCAGGTGAAGGTCAAGAGGCCAGTTTACCACACAAAGACTGGCAGCTGCCTCTGGTTAACATCTTAATTGGCTTTAGCTGGTTTCTTTTGTAGTGACTGAGATTTTTTTATTTTTGGGTCCAATTAGAACCCAATTAAACAACAGCTGCAGCTTCTTTGTCCAAACCAGTTTACTCATAAGTTTGGTCAGAATTCATCGGCAGTAGTTCTTCCTGTGAGATTTAAGTGAAGAAACAACGATTCAGGAATCTAATCAGACACCTGAGGGGCCAATCACTTAATGAATATGTGATGAAATTACCTCGCTGCATGTTTTATTCTTTATTTAACCAGGAAGTCCCGCAAGATTAAAATCTCTTTTTCGGGACAAAAGTAAAGCACATTAGAACATTAGAAAGTAAATAAACATTAGAACATCCACTGAACTAAGACACACAAAGTAAAAATCCAGCTTAGCTACACAACTTTTGATCAAAGCTTCAAACTTTGACATTAAAAAAAAGTCAAACAAGATTTAAATCTTGCACAGTTGCCTGCCTCAAATCTATTTTAAATCTGCTTGTAGTTGATATTTTCTGATTTCAAAACAGCTGTCATGTTTTTGGAGTTAAAAAACCAGAAACAACTTTTGTTTTTTTGTCTTTCTTGAGCTCCAGGCTGGACAGTAATAATGTCTCAGATTTCTTTGGCCTTGTAAACAAGAGCCTCAAAGAGCATCAACTTGTTTTGCACCAGAGGAGGTTCATGTAAGTTTTAGTCATAAAAAAAAATTCCACCAAATTCCAACAGGATTTACACAAATGTGATGTTTGAGTTTGTTCTAATTTGTGCCTGTGAACAACATGTAGAGCGGTTAAGACGCTCACAGCAACAGCGAGGAGTGGAGTTGCTCGGATACCAAAGCAGAAAACAAAGGAAAGCAAATGCAATAAAACATGCATGGCATTCTGAGCGGGGCGGGAAGGTCTGTATTAGACGCCGGCTGCTCTGTGGCTCTGCGCCGCCACTGCCTGGTAACAGTCGCTACGAGGAGGGTAACTGGAGGTGCAGTCATTACAGGGCGGTATTGACTTCCATGTTACTCCATCAAAAAGTTGGACGAGATGTTTCTCTGTGTTTATCTCCCAGAAAAGAATTTTTAACCACTGTGGCACAAAACTGTCAACTGCGGAGCAACATGGTTGGATTCTAAATAAACACCAGCGATCACGTCTCAAAGGGATTTTCTTTAATTTTATGTGCAGTTTGGTCTGTGGTCGCCACTGTAAACGTGTCGTCATCAATTTTGTATATCGCACTCCTGCAGAGAAAGGGAAAGCAGGATGGCAGCGGGTCAGGTATTACATATTGAATTTCTGCCGCCGCTATCTGACTCCATCTCATCTGTCTTTCCCCATGTAAGCGTAGCAGTGGACACATATTCCTGGACAAGTATTGTTTTGCACCGGATGAATAAATGAATGAACGAGGGCTTATGTTTTTCATTTTCAGCGAGCGCCGTCGAGCATCTGGAGGCCTTTCGCTGGAGGAGCTGAGGAGGAGCATGCAGTTCTCTCCCATTGATCGAAATGGTTTGTAGAGCAGGTTCACACTTAGAAGCTGGAGTTTGGATTGTTTTTTCATCGTTAACCTTGATCTAAAGGATAAGGCTGATGCTATCATATAATTTTCCCACTGTCAAAAAATTCCAAGAGAAGACCAGAACCAATGCTAACAGATGGGAGACCAGTCACACTGAAAACACAACATGTAGTGACTTACTGAGGTGTTGAGTCACCACAACAGCTTCAGTGCATCTTGGCATTGGTTCCCTAAGTCTCTAGAACTCTACTGGAGGGATTAAAACACCATTTTTCCAAAATATATTCCCCTCATTTGGGGTTTTGATGATCATGTTAGAGAGCTGTCAAACATCTCCAATAGAAGTTCAGTTGAGTTGAAATTTGGTGACTTTCAAGGCCATAGTATACGATTTAGAACATGTTCATCAAACCTTTCAGTGACCCGTTGTGTGCTCTGTGGATGGATGAGACCACTCTCATCAAGAAAGAAATGTTTTATTATAGGATGAAAGGTGATCATTTGCAGTGACTCTTCCCTCTAAAGAGGCCAAGTGGGCCCAAACAAGAAAAATGGCACCCAAAAACACAACAGAGCCACCATATCTTCCTCACTGTACGGGTTTAGATATTTTTTTTCCCTTTAATTTGTCACCCTTCTTTACACATAACCACCAAAATAAAGTTTAAAAAAAGACAAGAAATGATATTACCTACCACAGCTGGGGTCTGCAGTTTCTGAAACAGGAGTTAAAGATGCACTTATTGGGGACTATTTTCAGTGAAGGATGAATACACATAAAGAGCTGTGGCAAGTGTTTATGGCAGCAGGATGATGCAGTGCAGGGGTGGGCAATCCTGGTCCTCGAGGGCCACAATCCTGCATGTTTTAGATGTTTCCTTCTTCCAACACACCTGATTCACATGATCAGGATTGCTGTCAGGCTTCTGCAGAGCTTGATGATGAGCTGATCATTTGAATCAGGTGTGTTGGAAGAGGGAAACATCTACAACATGCAGGATTGTGGCCCTCGAGGACCAAGATTGGACACCCCTGATGTAGTGGCTTGTTTTTTGACTCCTATAACTGTTTATCATAGGTAATATTTGTAGGATTTTTTAGCTAAATATGTCTTAACTGGAGGCTCAGTAGCGTAACGCATGTCGTTTTAAATGTAACTGATGTTGACTTGATGTTGTCAACTGCCCATCATTTGTTAGAATCAATTCAATATTTCATGAGATTTATTTACAATAATAATCATGTAGAGTATCACCAGCTGCATCCTTTAAGTCAGTGCTTCTCAAACTTTTTGAGCCACGACCTCCAAGATAACATAAGTTTCTTTTCGTGACCCCCAATTTGAATGTTTAACATGGCATAAGTCAGAAATTTGTTGTTCATGCATTCATGTGTTAAAAATGAATGTGTTATTTCCAGATTCATCTCTCTACAGAAACACATTAACTTTCTTATGAATGAATGGATGGATTTATTTCGCCAAATGAAAGAGGAAAAAAAATCTAAACAAAAAAATTATAAAAGAACATTCAAAAAGGGCAAAAAAGAATAATAATATCACATAATCAAATCATAATATTAACAAGTCCAAAAAAAGGAATGGGAAGAAGTCTACACTTTTAATTTTGACTGCATTAATACAAATTTATTTGATAAATGTAGGCTTTATTTTATTTCTTTTTTTACAATGACCCCCTGAAATGATCTTGGGACCCCTGTTTGAGAACCACTGCTTTAACTGTCAGTAGCAGTAGTGCTATAGTTGTCTGTAATATTTACAGTCACTGATGTTTTTCTGTCTGTTTCTCAGGATACGTTTCTGATCCCATGAGCACCATGAGACTAAGCTCCTCCTTCAGCAGCAGTGGCAGCTTCGAGGACAGCAACTGAACCTACTTCGAGCTCCAAACCTTTTTTTTATTATGTCCATTTAAATCTGACATTTTGTGAATTCATTTTAGGTAAAACTGAAGTAGGAGACTGATACATGGAGAGAGATATTGCTAACTGACTTGAATGTGCATTTGGTTGTAACATATCATATATGGATGAGTTGTTTGTGAATTCTAAACCTCAATATCATATATTGGATTTATTTATTTGACACAGTATGTAAAAGAAAATGTGTGTATTTTCTTGTGGCTTTTATAACTTCTGGGGATTTTGTGTGACGAATGTTTGCATTAAAGTACAAAATGATGGTGGATGTCATGTCAGGGGAAAGAAAAACAGGAAGTCAATCAGTCCATACGTATTGTTTTTATTTTTGAATCGCCCTAATTACGAAAGCGTTCAGTCGCTGACAGACATCAAGTGAAAGGATGAAGCCTCACAAGCCCAAACTAGCCATCAAAATGACATTTAAAGGCAACACCGATAGTATATATTTTTAAATAGAGGTAGTGTTAGCAGCAAGATGAGACACTTCAGCGATTCTACCGTTAACCAAACTTCCTCTGCAGTCGTCTCTACACACTCATTTAGCGACGATTACATTCCAGCGCTGATTGAAGTCGTCATTAGCACAGATACAGTTCGGTTACAGATCTCCGATGGAAGCTGAAGTATCCAGTCGGTGGAAATGTAAAGAGCAGCAGGGCCAAACTAAACTCCAACGACTATGAATTATTCAATCGTGTGTGAGCGCGAGCGGAGGAGTATCTGTTTACAGGTAATAGGTGATAGCGGCCGCACTTGATACCTCGCACGAACCGAGCCTCTTTGTTAGCGACAATAGGAAGAGACGGTCTATTGTAAACATTTGATGCAGCAGTCAAAACTCATTACGCCGCTTCTTTTTTTAGTGACTGAAGGATGAAGTCTATTTATGAAGCCTTCGTCCTGTAAACACAGAAACCGTGAGGGCGTCTTTTAAGTCGCTTTTGGGAAAACACCACACGAGTGCTGCGTTGCTATTAAAGCCTGATTGTCTAAGCATTTTAAAATTTTCACTTTTACATCTTTGTAGAATTGAGAAACAAAAAAAAAAAAAAAAGGAAATGAAGCATCACTTTACCTCTAATGTCCACTCTCAGTCCTCGCAGCCGCCAGTAACGGATACGAGCTGCGGCCGAACAGAGTTTCGTCCACCGAGAAGGTGCTGAGTCGGTCTTTGCTGAGGGTGTGTTTGATGTCCTGGATCAGCTGCGCGTCTCTTCTGTCTCGGCTCCCGTCGGACGCTTTGGTTTGGGTCTCTCCGCCGTGGGACTCGTCTTGGCTTCCGTCGTCTGACTTTGTAAAATCGGTTATTTCGGTAACTTCTCGGCTCATTGTTTCCCAGGTTTCGTCGGCTTCTTTCACTCCTTCCTTTGAGTCTTGACGCTCTTCTGGTTTGACAGAAGGTTGAAGATCTGTCGTGTCTGTTGGTTTTACATTCATGTCTGGATCACCATCTGTGGTTTTATCACTCTCAGGTTTGCCGCTGGCCACGGAGTGATGAGTACCTGAGATGCTTTCCACTTCGGTTTTGGGATTAACATTTTTCTCACCGAGTCCTTGCGGTGGTTCATCTTGAGCCTCGTTTTCTTCAGTAGATCCTCTGCTTTCTTTGGGCTCTTCTTCTGACTTGACGTCCTGCCTGTTTGCAGACTCTTGGTCACTTTGTTCAGTCTCTGCTTTTGGTGTTATTAAGCTTTTCACCTCCATCTTCTCCTCCACTTTCGGTGCATCTTTGGCAGCTTCCTTCTCACAGGGTTCATCTCCAGCGTGGATGCTGTTGATGTCCGACTCCACGGCTTCCACTTTGGTTTCGTCCGTCGGCTTCTTTTCATCTTTGAGCTCCTGCGCTTCATCTTCGTCTTCGGGCATGATCTTGCCTGGAGTCTCTGATCTCTGCAGCTCTGCCGATTGCGTCTCTTCACTTTTAGATTTTGATACTTCGCCGTCTGAAACCTCCTCCGGCAGATCTTCTAAAGGTTCGACGAACGTCTCGAAGAACCTGGACGTTTGGTGCACGTTCACCCAGTTCGTGACCAGATCTGAGTTGTCTTCTCTCGCTAAGATCTCTGGAATGTCTTTGGACGAGGCGGCGCTCGGTTCTGCTTTATTGGCCTCCTTGTTTTGGGCTTGAGGTTTGAGCAGAACACTTGCTCCTTCTTCCGAGGCCTTGCTCGCCTCTTCGGTGTCTGCTCCGTTTTCTACGTCGGCAGCAGAGACGTCAACACTGACTGTATTCTCATCATTATGGAGGTTTTTCTCTGTTTTAAACTCTACAACAGGCTCCGTATTCTGTTCATCTACGTGGGGAACGGCATTGTCTAAATCAACTGGTGCAGAAGATTGTTCTCCTGAACATGCCGCCACAACGATCACCTCATCGATGGGATTCTGTTCGTTGTTGTTCTTTTCCATTGAGTCTGACTCTTTATTTTCGTTATCAAGCTCGGCCTTGTTGCCATTTTCATCTCGTTTTGTTTCCTCGCTGCTTTTTTTGTCATCTAATTCAGGATCTTCTTTTATTTCCACACCAGATGTTTCTGGCTCGGAGTCATTTTTAGTCGTTTCGTCCTGCTTTTCCGCACTTTCCTCTTTCTCAGCCTCACTTTCTATCACATCAGCATCAGGAGCCTGAACGTCTTTGCCGTCCTCATCTTTTCCAGACTCCACAGTTATTTCTTTTACATCTGTGCTCTCATCTTCAGTTTGCTCCTCTCTTTGTCTTACTTCTTGGCCATTCTCTGCTGCTTTAAAGTCATCTTCCTGAGGTTTGCTTTCAGCTGAAGTGGAAAATTCCCCATTTTCAGCATCAATTTCTTCCTTTTCACTGCTGTTACTTGCTCTTTCAGTCTCTCCAGTCACATTTTCAGCCTCCGTCACGTCGTTTAGCACATCTTCAGTTGTTTTAGTCCCATCTGCTGCTTCGCTGTCGCCGACATCCTCTGACTCAACAACATTCTCTGGAGATTTTTGCCCATTCTCTTTATCCAAGTCTGCATCTGCACTTTTCTCAAGTTCTTCTGTAATTGCAGATTTTTCTCCTCCTTCTCCTGCGGTCTTATCGTCTTTTATCTCTTCACATTCTTCCCCATTTTTATTCTCCGTGACGTCACTTCGCTCGGCTTTGTGCTCGTCTTCCTCCGACTTTTCTGCCTCGTCGTTTTTGTCTTCTGCCTTTGTCTCACTTCTGTCTTCGCCCTCGTTACTTTTATCAGCTCCCTTTTCTCCAGATTCTTCCTCGTCATTTTTATTCTCGACACTTTCACCAGTCTCATCTTTCTCTGTCTTTCCCGATTCTTCCACCTTCTCTTCATTTGCAACAGGATCCTCCTCAACTACGGTTTCCTCAGCTTCTGTTTCACTTTGCTTTTCTTCAACATTTGTGTCACCCTCAGCTCCCTCCGCAGTATTTTCCTTTTTGTCAGTCGTTTCATCTGCCTTACTTTCATCATGACCCTCTTCTTCTGATCTATTTTTTTCTTCCTCTTCTCTTTGTTCTACATTTTCATCTTCCTCTGTTACATTTGGATGCACATGAGTTTGTTCTGTACCCTCAGATTTCTGCTCCTCTACCTTTTCATCTGTTTCCACAGAGGTTTCCGTCCTCTCTTCTCCCTCACGTCTTTCTTGTTGACTCTCATCTTTGCTAGCCTCTGTTCCTGACGCCTCTTCTTCAGCGTAGTCTTTAATTGTGTTTTCCTCACTTGTTTCTACTGTTTTTTCCACTATGGTGTCTCCGCTCCCCTCCGGCGAGCTGCTCGAATCCTCTGCTGCGACTTCGCTTTCTGATGCTGCAGCTCGGTCCTCGCCGTCTTCCTGCTGCCTTTCCTCTGTGTCGGTTACAGGTGCCTCTTCACGGCTGAGGGCCTCTTGCTCCTCTGAGGACTCTGCTTTCATCTCCATTGTCTCGCTTGCTGTCATCGCCTCCGCCTCTGCATTATCTGCTGTCTCATCAGCCTTTTTATTCGGCTCTGATACTGATGACTCATCCTCTTCTCCGCTTTTTCCCCCTTGCCCCGTCTCGTCGTGCTGAATGTCAGCCTCCGCCGCAGTTTTCCCCTCCTCGCCTTCATCTTTCTCTGCAGCCTCAGCATCGGCGGGTTTAGTCGGCGTTTCTTCAAGAGGATCTGCCGTCTTGTCATCTTGTGCCACGTTTTCCTCGCTGACGGGATGCGGAGGTTCGCCGGCGTCCTCTGATTTCTCCTTCTCTTCGGCCCTTTCATCTTCCTCAACCTCGCTGACCTTCTCCTCTTTGGTGCCGTCACTGTTCTCATGAAGCTCTTTTTGTTCTTTTGTTTCTGACGACTCTTCTTGCTCCTGCGGCACCTCGCCTTCACCACTCACACTTTCCTCACACTTTGCTGCTTCCTCGACGGTCTGCGGTTGATCTGTTAATGTAACGAGTTTCTCTGCATCTGCAAAAAAAAATACAAATTCGATTGTGTTGACAAAAAACACAAGTGGTGTCTCGTGTATCTCGCAAATTCATGACATTAAAAATGAAAACGTGGTACCTTTGCTGTCCTGTTTGGGGCCTTTATCCGCCGAGTCGTCCTCCTCTTCGGTGCTGGTGTCGCTCAGTTCAGGCTCAGAGCTGCACTGCGACTCCTTCAGTATGGCTTCGGCCAGCTTCTCCTGCACAGATTTGGCTTGGGATAGAAGAAGACACACGGCACACGCAGTTATATGAGTTTCAGCAATCACATGTTGAGTGACGGTGAAGCCACTCAAGGTGATGCTTGGTGTCCAAAAGTTAAAATAAACCCAGTAAATACAACGACAGGAAACTGAGCCAATAGAAGAAGCACAACCATCAATTTATTTAGTCCTTCCAGGTGCAAACACAATGCAGCAACACGACATGCAAAATGATGATCAACATGCACAGAAAGAAAAATGGAAGAACAACACAAAATCAAATAACTTTCTACTTCTAACCCACTTTATGTAGTTTTAGAAAATCCCTTTACTTGGGACGTATCACAGCGTGGAAGTAACTTTGGTTGAGGAAATACAACTACTTCAATTCTAGTTTCATTAATGATCTATTTTATAAAACGTACGAGTCAATATTTGCAGACAATAAGAGAAGAAAGCGAGCTGCTTGTCATGCAAAAGCAGACTTGTTTGGTTATCCACGATACATGAATATGCAGCAGCTCTTCACTGCTGCCTATTTTGAGCTTTTTGAAATACTGTACAGTATGCAAATATATGTATTTTCTCCTTAGTGGCCACTTCTTTCCTTTTGTCTGATTGCAATTTCACCCCCTGAGGGCTCTTCCCTTTGTTTTGAAATGTTTATTTATTTGATTTTATATTTTTCCCCACTTCAACCAAAACTACACAAAGCAGCTTTAGGACAAATAAACTGTGTAAAAAGGCGAAAGTAAAAAAACACAACAACAACAAAAACAACAACAAGAAAACAAAGTCATAATGCTTTTTAACTCTCTGAACCCCAAGCTGTTTTTGAGTGTTATTTTTTGCTCATGTAACATTTTTACTCACTGTGTCGTGCAAGTCTAACAAAGCAGTGGGACCATGGATAGAAGTAAAGAGAACTCCAAAAAAGGCACCAATTCTGGAAAGAAGTGGTGGCTCTGCATACTGTAGACGTACATTTTTACAACCTCTATGAACAATTTCCACATTACCTTCACCCTCAGCTCTAGGGAAATATTTCACCATGCTGCATGTTTCTTCCAACAACCTGCTGACAACTTACTTCTCTGTACACCGTTGTTAAGCCATGCTGCATATATTTTATTGATCAATATCTATCTAGATCTAATTTGTTTCTATACTTGTCTCCTCTCTGCTCTGCGTAAACACAGTCTGCAGTTCAGCCAAACAGTCCCTGAATTTCTATCACATGACTGACGTTTGCAGTTGAGTCACTCATGGCTGCTTGTTTGTGCCAAAGACTGCAAGAATTTATTCATTTATTTTTTTTGCAGAATCTGGTGCAAAAAGTTAATTTTTTGGCAAAATAAATGAAGTGATTATAACAAAATTAAATGGTTAATTGTGTGCAACAGTTCATTATCAAGCAGGATATTATTTTTACTTCAGTATTACCTACTATTTTTTCTACCCCTATTTTAGTGCTTATTAGTATCTTCAGTAATGCATCGTACTTGTATCTTATTGTATTCTTTATTAGGCACTGCATTTCTCTTGTTGCTTAAATTTGCTTTTACATAAAATGTTTAAAATATTTCCTTGAGGATTAATAAAGTTTCTTCTTATCTTCTACTTTTTCTGAACATCACACATGGTAAGTTAAAGTTTTTACAGTTTCTAGCTCTTACATTCATCGTAATTTTATTGGCTTTTTGAAACGTTAGCATACCTTCAGTACATTTGGGGTTCAGAGGTTAAAGCCTGAAAACATTGTCAAGAGTGATACAAGCACAAAATACAATCCAATTATTATTTCTCATGAACATTCAAACATCTCAAAACTTGTTGATAACAAAAGTGGACGAGGCTGAAAATCACCACACGCATAAGAAACTTAAGAACAAAATAATACAAAGACACACAAGCAGTTTTTCCACTATTAACATGTAAAAACATTCTGATGTTTTGAACATATCAGGCTGACAATACTGTAGCACTGTGATGTTATTTAGCTTTTATCAGGGTTATATTACTTAAACTACACACAAACCTACAAACCTCAGCTCCTGACTGATTCATATAAGGTGTTAGCACAGTGCTGGTTGTGATAATAGTGGAAAAACCTCCATACACGATGGATTTTTTCACTCAGGTGAAACCTCCACAGCCCTATCTGTTGGTTTATACTCACCTCTCTCCTGTTCCTCCTCCGGTTTGCTCTCCTCCACTGTTTTCTCAGCATCTTTGACTTCTGAAGTGTCGTCGCTCTGTCTGTTGTCGTTCCCTGAGGGGACGCTGGTGTCAGAGATGTCTATCTCGGTGCTGTCGCCGGCGCTGTCCTGAATGTCCGAGTCTTTGGCCACAGCAGACTCTCCCTCAGTGGCGGCAGCTTCTTCTGGATTTGGTTCGTCTTTTTCATCCGGCGGAGCAACAGTTTGCTCTCCATCCACTTCTTTAGGTTGCTCTGCTTTCTCTTCCTCCTTTGAGTCTTTTGTTTCTTCAGCATCACTCTCCTCCTGATCGCTGCCGGAGGAGCTGGAGCCTGAACGAGACTTTATGTGTTCTGTGCAAGAAAGATGCCGCATTTAAAGTTCCTGAACAGAAAAACCACTCACCAAACTTCTAATTTATACACTAATATTGGTAAGAAGCCCTCTCAAAGCAGGAAAAGCCTTTCTAAAGATAGTTGTCTACAGAAAACACGCAACTTTTGCTTCCCTTTTGCTGAAAAGATTTAACATATTTTCACATTTCACTGAAATGTATGTGTTCAAACAAAGACATTCACTCACCATCTTTATCATTGTCTTCAGCCTCAGAGGCGTCTTTCTCTTTGTCCTGCTTCTCCGTTTCAACGACTGGAGATGGAGATTTCTCTTCTTTCACCTCATCTTCTGCTGGGGCTTCATCATCTGCTTCAAAGTCCTCTTCATAGTCTTAAGTGGAGAAAGAGAATCAGACATTCACAGGCACACATGATGTAGAAAAGATCTGTGAATCTTGAGTTTGTTTGTGTCATTGTACCATCTCGGACTTTGTCCTCCTCAGGTGCTGCTTTTTCTTCGACTTGAGTCTCCATGTCCTGTGGCTGACTGGTTTCACACTCTGACTGGGAGGCAGCGTCCTCACCAGTCCTCTCCGTCTCCATCTCTGGTGCATCTTTTGGGCTGCTGACTGATTCCTCTCTTCCTACGTCCTCTCTGACCCTCTTCGGTGGAGGAGTCGGCTTTTTGTCCAGTCCCATTGCTATGATGCACCTGAAACATGATTGTAAGAACTCACAACTGACACAAGAACCTCAAAATATTACTATAATATGACTTTTTTATGTCTGAACACAGTAACTTTTCATCATCTTGAAATTTATGTGTACTGGAAAAAAAAAATTGCAAACTTTTAAAGTGCTGGAGGCCAATTTTTCTATTTGGTAGCTTTTGCAAGAGCCACGGTAGGTGGTTCCAGTCTTTACGCTAAGCTAAATCTCTTGACTGTATCTTCATATTTATTATACAGGAATGAGAGGTGTATAAACCTTCTTAACTAACTCCTGGCGAGAAAGTGAACACCTGTGTTTCCCAAAAGGTTGAACTTTTCCCTTTCCTTATTTATTCTCATTTTACAATCTTTGTTGTTGTTATATTCAAAGGTTCCTGCCTTTTTTGTTAGAGACACAACACTTCTTCAAAGCTGCCTGTCTTACTTGTAACAGGGAGAAGCTCCCTCTACGCTGGAGAAGCCAAAGTGTCCATGTCTGCCGCCGAGCCGAGAGCCTTTCCTGTGTTTGAACTCGCAGCAGGAGCTCAGCCGCTCCACCTGCAGCCCGTTCAGGAAGAAGGTCAAGCTGAAGGGGAAACCTCTGTGGCGCCTTGAAATAAACTGGAAACTCTCTGACGGAGAGATCGAGGATGTAGATTAGTGACAAAAAAAGGCATCTTAAATCCAGTGAGGTATCTCTACCTGTGGCTTGTCTCACCCGTATCTATCAAACACAACTCAGTTTCACACACTGACCTCCCTCGAGAAGCTTTCCCTTGTAGACACACAGGTTTTCTCCTCCACAGTGCTGCTGAAACACTTTGACCTCATCCCTCATGTCGGTCAGGTCGTGGGAGAGATGCACTGTTTTGCCAAAGTACACCATGTTCACGGCCACTTTGCTCTGGTGAACTGAGCTTCTTAGCATCGGGGGGTCCTGGATAGAAAAAAGAACGTCAGTTTATCAATTTACTGCAGTTTGGGATGATTTGCATAGGAAGGTGTTATCCAGGTCTGGATGAAGTTTATATTATAATAATAATGCAAATTCTTACATATATTTTTACATGTGCCACCCAAATAAATTTACTTATTTTATTCCTAAACTATTAACATTATTATTGCTTTTCACCCTCTATTTTCACTTGTTTTGTGTTTTGTAATTGGATAAGGCATTTTTATTTTATTTTATCTGGTGTTGCTGTATTGATTTATTTTGTAAATCTTCAACCATTTTTAACTTAATTTCTCCACTTTTGCCTCTATGGTCTGTTATCTTTCTGTTTTTAATGATCCTCCTTCGTATCCTTCTTTTTTTTACCCTGTCTGTACAGCAGTTTGTAAACTCTGTTTTTAAAAGCTGCTATATAAATGTTGTTGTTGTTGTTGTTGTTGTTGTTGTTGTTGTTATATACAGCACTTAAAGTTGGAGTAGGCAGTGCTTTTTGGTGTAATTGTGCAGAAAGTATGTAATGTCTTTTAAGAATTCTGTTATTCAAGTAGTCTAAGTGAAAACTACAGGTCTGAATCTCTTCTTTTTTCAGAGTTTAGAAAATCTACCCCTTGACATGAGCCTTTGGATAGTATAAAAATAGTAAAAAGAGAAATAAAGTCCAAATTAGAAGCAGGAACGAGTGGCTGAATGGGTTAAAATTCACTTTAACTCAAGGGAGTGAGGCTACGTGAAGCTACAAAGGTTTGACTATTTCTGTGTATTTGAATCTTGAGCTTGAAATACGCAGAGGAAAAGTTGTATTTTCAAATTCTGATGTTCCAGATATCTTCCTACTGTAGCGTTACCATTAATGAGTCACTACAGGTTAAATAGTTGAAAGTTCATTTTAGAATCCTCTGTGGGATTCTGCATGTTTGCTTTATGGCATTTTCTTGGCTTAGACAAACTTATCAAACACATGCATGCCATACAGATAAATACACGTCTTACAGAAATGTTACTTGTTGCTCCTACTTAATCTAAAAGGGCTGCAGGTTGCATGTTGTGGAAAGTTTTGCTGCCAGGGGAAACAGAAGCTGACCTCAGTTACGTCTCCACTGGAGGCGGTGGTCGGACGCAGTCTTCGGCCTCTGATGGTGTTGCTGCGACTGACCTTCGCCCCCCTCTCTTTCCTCTTTGTGGTCGGAGGCACCGGCGTGACGAAGTTGTTGATGACCGGGAGGCAGTAGGGCGAGATGCCATGTGAGGCCTCCACCGCGGTAAAACGTCTGCGGGACTCCTTGTCCATCTGGGAGAGAAGTTAATGACGTCTGTACATGTGCTCGTAGAGGTTTGTCGACTCTCAGAGCTAACCTTGTTTAAGGCTGTGGATGTGTAATGTGAAAAAACACTGATGCTCTGAATTGTTGATTTCTATGGTTTCAATTTCATGAGACATATTTTTCTAAACATGTACCCAAACTGACCAACATACTGCATGATACGGACCACTACATTTTAAAACTAACTATTTTTCTACATCTCTAAAGGTTAGTTTGTGTAAAATCAAATGTCTAAAATTTAAAAAACTCACATTTAAACTCTACATGATGAAGATTTATTACTTGTGACAGTTATTCAACTCATCACTGCCTAATATATGGACAAGTTCCACCTCTAGCAGTAAGATGTGACACATATTTCTAAGGCGCTGAAAGCTAAAAAGCCATCAATCATAACATCTCCATTAAATCTATTTAGTTAAACTTTTAACTCGTTTAAAGTCCACTTGCATACAGTGAACTTGGAAAACTACTTGTGCAGTTTGTGCTGCACACACCTGAAACATTTTGCTGCAAACATTAGAACTAAACACAACTGTGCCTGCAGGTCAGTTTAAAACCACAATCACACACTACACTACTAACTTAATGCCCTATTTCTTCTCTTTCAGTGTAATTATAAATGAGGGGACGTCCTCAATGACTCCTCGAGATTTAAAAAAATTCAAAAAAATTCAATTTAATACAAGATAACCCATTTTTTTCCCCAAAAAGATGGAAATATAGGTCTCACTTTACCATTTAAACAAAAAAAATAACCTAAAACATCATTTGTGCACAACATCAGTGTGTGTGTGTCTCTTATGACAGACTCACATTGCCGTTGAATGACTGGTTGTTCTCGTGCGAGGACTCCAGGAGTCTGTAAGGGGAGCTGCGTCTGAGTGAAGCCGTGGTGCTGTTGCTGTGGATCGGCTTCAGGCGAATCGGTCGCTGCATCTTCCCCGGAGCCGTGTTTGGTCGAGACGAGCTCGGCTACAGAACAATGAGACATTCTGCTAACTCCAGGTATCACTGACATAATTATCTGTGTGGTTTTACACCACAGTGACATATTAATGGCCAAATAATAACATAATTGCACATATGTTGGTGTATGATTGTGTAATTGTAGGTTTTGTTAAAATAAATGCAGCCTCTCAGCTCTATGCTATGATAGAGTTCTTTGTGTTTAGCGCTTTATTAAAGTAGATCATGTAACAATTAGCACATTTTATTATGTTCCATTTGTATGATTTTTCATTTAGGGTTTTTCCTGCAAAAGGTTTTTGCAATGACCAAAGGAAACTCAACAGCTTCAAAATGAAAGTTTTGTTGTTGTTGTTGTTTTTTTAAAACTGTTTTATTAATTGGGCTTTTATTTATTAATGCATAATAAGCATTTTTATTAATCAAATGATCAAAAATATCAGGAAAATGCATAGATTAATGACACATTAAGTAAAAGACTCATTGCCTGTAGTGCAAGTCAACAGATGGTATTCATTGTTGTGTGCAATCATCCCCCAAAGGTCCATAGTGAGCAGTGAAAAACCCTGTATTTTCTGTTTTTAAGCTCACCATGTATGCTTGCTACAGTTAAATGTCTTTTCATTTCTCTTAATCTGCTCTATTTCTAATTTATATCATTTCACAGATTTGTTGCTGCTACTGTATCCCAGTTGGGAATCTTTAGTCTCCTTTTACTTGTAAAAACTGCAACCGTCTTAATAACTTCCACATAAATGATGATGACAATAGATGAGTGAAAAAATTCATATTAAACTATCTTCCTGTCTTCTCATCACGTCCCCATTGATGTATTTCAAACAAGGCTTGGCCTGCTGAGGTGTGACGTGTTTGTAGACTTTAGAAGAGAGAGATTTCACAGCGTAAGCACAGAGATCAAGGACAGGATTACCGGCTCTGTTTACTCTGGCATCAAGGTCCGTGACTTTTCCTGTTTCAAAGAAAACACGCAGCAAATCTCACAACTTCAAACTGAAGTGTCAGTGTCTAAATAAACATGGCAACTATCAGCATGTACAGGTAATTATTACATAACAGACAGACATTCATCACTTGAAAGAACGTGTTAGATATCACTCAACTGTGCAGCACGCGTGGCTGCAGATCAGACATGCAGTCGTCAATTGGGTATGACAAAAATATATTTAAATATCATATTTTTTACTATTTCAGAGAAGCCATCCAGAAAGTATTGCCACAAAGAATGCATTTGTTTCTGCTCTCTTCAACATGACAATATCCATCCATCCATTATCTATGCACCTCACTAGGGTTAGAATATTGTTAGCTTGGCATAAAGACTAGAAACAGACAGAAAAAGACCACCTGGTTTTGGTAAAAGGTGAGCACTTTGCCAGCATAAACTATAGACAGTCAGTGCTCCAACATCAGAAAACCCACAACTTGTTGTTTGTACACTTGCAGATTAAAAAGACTGTCAGTCAACCAGGTCATATAATGTGCTTCAAGAACCAAAAAGAAGTCCAGTTGCTTCTACTGAGACACTTAGAGATAAACAATGTGGTAAGTAGCAATATTTAGAACTGCTAGTACACCAAATTTGTTAGTTTTAGAAAGAAAAGTTTCAAGTTTATTGTACAGGCATGAGAGTCGTGTCAGTCTACCCATTTAATTGTTCACTGTTACCTTGGCTGGAAGTACATTTCAGCATTTCAAGCACAAAAACCGTCTAATTTTGACCATATTTGGACAGATGATAGATTTTACCACACTGTATTTCAGGTAATAAATGTATAGATCATTCTACAGATGAGGGCACTAAAAACATTTCAGTGAAACTTCATATTTTTATCTTGTCAAGCACAAATCTCACTGATCTATCCAGCCTCAACCAGCTCAGCTAACAGCAGCTCTTTAACATAAGATCAAGGTTTTTATCTCAGACATCCCTCTCAGAGACCATTAGTGCCGTTTTTAACTTTGCTTGATGGTGACAATGTGACAAAAGGTCAAATTTCAAAAAGAAAACTGCGCCTTCTGCATTCCCTGAATACAACATATTAAATGTGATATTACAGAAAAGTCCCGTCAAACTGCTGGTGCCACAGGATGTTTTTAAACTCACAGACTCGGAGGATTCAGAGTGCTCCCCCTCTGGCCCAGAGTGCTGTTTCCGGAGACCTCTTGCACCCGTGGGTGGACGTGGAGACAGGATGCGGATAATGTCCTCCTCGTACCTTTTGGAGCGCTCCACCTTCCCAACAAGACCATTTATTAGATACTGCATGTGGCCACAGATGAGTTCAGATAACTCTGAACAAAATGATTTATAATGAATGACTCATTCAGTCTGGATGCTGCTTCAGAGACACTGAAGAGTTCTTGTCATTAACTGTTTTCCTGTTTGATATCATTTAAAAGTCATTAATTTACAAAATAGGGCAGCGAAACACTGTTTATATGCAAATCATGTACCTTGATCCTGTGCACTCTTTCCCTCCTTGCAAACTCCTCCAGTTTCCTTTTGATCTCTATTTGGTGGAGACGCTGTGAGGGAGATGCACGGGACAAATTAGCATCGTTTATTATTCGAGGAGAACGACAGATTAGCAGACAGGGTTTTGTTTCAACTGTGTTCCTCCCACCTCCATCTCCAGCACCTTGTGGAAAATGGCCTGGGCCAGACATTCTCGAACGTGTCTCTGGTGAGCTCTCTGGATCAGTTTGTGTCTGTACTCTTTGTCTGGAACAATCCGCCCACTTCTGGTGATCTAGTAACGACACGGGTGTCAGCAGGGTTTGAACAGGAGGAGTTTTGAAAGACAGATGACAATATGACGGACATTTTGTGCAGGAATACAAAATATAAGACATGAATTCAATTGTATAGCAGCTTGTATGTAGTTTTAAATCGGCACTGGGTTCAAGGAGGAACTGTGTAACTGAACTGGACAACATTCTCATGACCGTGAGAATCAGAAACAGAAAAAGCTTTGTAGTCAAGTGAGCTCGCACACACAAGGTAACTGAAACTTAAGCTACTCACGAAAAGTTAGACAACAAGATAATGACAGAGTTAGTAAGTAAAAAGTCCTAACAGGGCTGCAGGCTGTAAAATAAGTGACTCTGTTTATGATAGTTTGATAAAGACTGAGGAAAGACGCTAAAAACACCTTCGTCAGATTTTGCAAATTTCACCATGTCATCAAAATCAGGACAAAAACCAGGATTTCAAGAAATAATGGCATCAAAAATCCAAATCCCCAAGCACTGATCTTCTCCCCTGAAGACAGCTTTGATGCCTATTTCTTTTCTGATTTTTCTTTCTATTGAAAATTTTTGTAGATTTTCAGAAAACGTATTTTTTTGTTGTTTACTAGAGATAATATCAATCAAACTGAAGTTGAGTGGATTTGACTCAGTAGAAATGACATGACAAAAATAGAGATAACTTAAGTTTGGTTGATAGTGTCTCAGGTAGACGATGGAAAAATGGGTTATCTGAAGGTTTGTGAAGAAAACACAAAATGTAGGCTCCAGGTAACCATTCAAAATATTATGGAACACAATTTAACAAGGGTCCCAAATCTTTATTCTTCTGTAGATCAACTTTTCATCAACAAATACAGACTTTTATAAAACCACTATAACAATATTCTAATTATTGAGGTGACATGTCTGCAACATGACCCCCAGAACCTACACCTATGGTTGCTGGTCAAAGTGAAGCAAATTTAACTACTTTTTACCACATCTTTGCTGACAAATGAAGGTAGAGGGGTGCAAAATATGCAGTATTTCTTTCAGGATTTTAAGAACTAATGATATTCAAATCCTGAAGTACTGCCCTTCTACTCTGAAGACAACTTTGACACGTAATTCTTTTCTGATTTGTTGTTTCTATTGACTTTTTCAATCAATATGTCTGTATGTTTTGTCTTTCTAAATACAGTTTTAAATTCACACTACCTTATTCTAACTATAATGGATATTTTTGGTTTAAAAACAAACCCATTTTGTATTATTTTGTCCTAAAAACATGAGAATATGCCTTCGGAGGCCACCATCTGGTAGGTTCTGTGTGAGTGCAGAATGCAAATGTTTTTTTTAGGTTTTGAAATTCACAACAACAAATACAGATACGACCCAAATGGCAGCGTTTAACCAGCATCATCGTAGTTTGGACATACCAGCCCTGCCCTCTGCAGATGCCTCCTGATCCGAGTGTTGCTGAAATATCCGGCGAGATGTTTGTCTGTCAGACTGTTGTAGGCTGAAATAAGTCTGAAGAAACAAAACCAACACAAACACAAAAGAGAAACTGATTCACAGCCAGTCATCAGTGACAACAGTCTCCCTTCATAAAGAAACGTCCAGAATCTAAAAGTGTCTTGCTAGCAGAAACCCAGAATCCTCATCAAGTGTTTTGCTCAGACTCAGCTCCATGTTTGTTAGTTGGCTGTCGTTCTTCTTGTCCTCATTAAGAAGACATCAACTCTTCCACAGAGCAGCCTCTCTTTTTTTTTTTTTTTCCAACACAGGTTTGATTTCCACCAGCATTTGTGCGCGACACAACAGGATCGTACAATTATAGATTCTGTTACAGGTGTCTGATTACACACAGGAATTAGAAGGGACGGCACACTTAACCCGGGCCGCCTACTCTTTGTGCTCGTGGCCTGTTTGCGTCTGGCCCTCTTCAGCTTTGGCTGCAGATTTCTCTCTGGATCGCAAACGGCGACTTTAAACTATCGCCTGTCATTTTAGACGTGACTTCCTCTGACACACTGACACTTTGACAGGGCACGTGGCACCACGGCTCACCTTCTTTACTTATCAGAACTTGTTCGGGGTCACTTTACAGTCAAGCACTTTGCATTTTTTAGCCAATTAGTACAGTGGCTTAACAGCAGCATCTACTATATCAGCTACAGCGAGTTTATTGTGCACCTGAAGAGCTGAACCAACATGCAAATTAAATCATATTCTGATTATTTTTAAAAGATATTGCGATACGAGTCCCGATTTTACGGGGAATGGTAGTTCTTGCATTTCTTTTCCACTGAAGCTAATAAAAAAAGGGATTTTTGCTACAGTCTGTACAAAACAAGAATGTTCCCTTACACCTGGAGAATATACGTTTAATGATACGGTATGAAAACTTTATAACTTTATTTAAAAACTGCAGGTTATTGCACTTAGTGATATTGCAGTTTGGATAGTATTTAGATTTACTGCGTATCCCTAGAGCTGCACAGTGAACTTCTGCAACATGGTGTTGTTAAAAAGGCAACTGCAGGTCATAAAAACATAAAGTCTAATTAAATGTATGAATTTAATCAAGCTTAAAGGTGTTAGTACCTTGATACCAAAATACTGTTGCAAGTAAAAATTCAAAATGTTATTTCTATATTAGTGACAAAATGTACTGATAATATGAAAAGTACACACAATAATATAAGATGGAACTTCATTAATCTTGACAATTAGTTCTAGGATCATGGATCTAAAAGACCTCCATCATACATTTATTAATACACTATTGTTCTAGCTAGTGCTGTACATTGTACTTCTACAACATATTGCTATGAATATGTTAACTGCAGGGCTTCTAATCGCTTTAAAAATATTGAGTAGAATTGACTGTAGGCTTATAAAATACTCAAACTTCAATAAATGTAAAAATTGCTGGCACATGAAAAGTTCTGCATTCAAAATGTTACTCATATATTAGCAGCTAAATGTAATTATCCTTTTAAAAGTAATAGGAATGATTAAGCAGCAGAATGACACCTGTCAATCATATGTTAATACACTATTGGATCAATACTTCTAATGCAGTAATACACAAGCAGTACTTCAATGTTTCAGGTTGAGGTGGAGCTAAAAGCAGTTTACGTTTGATAGTTTAGTAGTTTGGTAGCTATTCTGATAGGAAAGCTATATATATATATATAAACTGTTTCCCTTTGAAATGCAATGCATTAGAAATTAAAGTACCATAAAGTGAAACAGGGTAAAGTACAGTACTTAATTAATATTGTTCATATTTGTTTCTGCAGCTTCTTCTTTTCTTTTCAGTGTCATTGTTATTCACAGTTAAGCTCAGATTTGTTAGAAAACTGACGTCTTTGAAGCTTTAGTTGAACTCATTACCAGTATAAAAGTCATTAACTGTGCGTCAGTGGTGACAGTACTGGTAGACATTAGTTTCAACTGCTAATCCATAGTTTTAGCTAATTACTACAACCATTTATTCACTTTTTACTCCACTTACTTTCATATTTTAATGATTTATGTCTTATTTTTGGCTGTCTTTTCCTTGTTTTCCAAACATTGCAGTTGTAGTTTTTGTTTGTTTCTGCAGCTTCATCTTTTCTTTTCAGTGTCACTGTTTTTACAGTAAAGCATGGTGTTCTAGTAAACTGGTGTCTATGAAGTTTACTTTAATCATTAGTTGGTTTTGGATGAACACAACAGTCGTATAAAAGTAGTTTTTTGTGCACCATTGGTGACCCTACTGGTAGACTTTAGTTTAAACTGTTTATCTATAGTTTTAGCTACTTATTACAGCCATTTATTCAGCTTTTCTACATTACTTATCTGTTCTAATCTTGCGTGCATTTTAATTGTCTGTTTATTCCTACTGCTTATCCATTAATTTAGTTACCTTTTCTTCTCACACCTGTTTAGGTCCACTTAATACTTTAATTAAATAGTTTTTTAGTTTTGTTTTTTTCAGATAAATTGAGGTTTTGTGGCATTTTTAACTTTATGCTAGTTGTTAGTAGGCTATAGCATTATGTAGTAGCATTAGCATAGATTTAGTTCTCTGGTAATTAAAGCCTAAGTGGTGACTATTTCAGCATCAATAAGCAAATTTCACGGTTTTGTACGTAATTAAAAAACAAACAACAGGGTAAACATTTAAGTAACATCCTACACAGCTAAATAAAAATCACACATACACTGAGTGTGAGCAGCATTTTAATTGAAACGAGCAGCTGCCTCCTCTCCTCAGGATAAAATATTAAATTGCTCCTACCCGGGGTTGAGGTGACTCATGGCTCTCAGCTCGGACTCTCAGGCCGGTGTCTGAGCTACGAAGGGCCGCAGAGAGCCGCTCGGTGGCCCGCTGGAGGAGAAACGAGACAGTTTGAGTCACAAAGTGTGGCGGTGAATTTGGAGCGGAGCCGGACTGAAGCTTCACTTCTGCTCACAGGCGCTGATGACACTCTGCGGTTGCCATGGAGATCACGTGACCGGGCCGGTTTCCACTTACACACACGCGCGCGCGCGCACTCCCAACGTGTTGTTGATTACACTCATTAGTCATCATAATCTAAAACACTGGTCATGATCTGGTGGATAAAGTCCGTTTACACTAATTGTTAATTTTCATTCAATTTCTATATAAAGTTACTAGTTTTTAACTGTATGTTTTCTGCTGTTATTTTACTGAATTTTCCTGTTTTGTTAAATTGCAGGCAATATCTCGTAAAATCATATAAATAAATAAAAAGAGGCGAAGTAAAGGTCCACATCCAAAACATTTGACTGTAATATTAGGCTAATTGTACCGTACGCAATTCAGTAAAAAAAATGTAATGATTTTACAGATATTTGCAGTTATCTGAATGAAACGTTATGTATGTTAAGGACTCCAAAAAAAGCATTAATTTACACGTTACGTGCAAAAAAAATAAAAAAAAAAAACTTGGCCAAAACTGTACATAATGATCACATGGAAAAACTGTACTTTTGCATATGTTGATTTAAATTACAATGACACTACTTTTACTGTATCTAAACTAACAGAAATATTGTTATTTTACATATAATTGGCCTTATTCATAGAAAAATTATGTAGGTTTAAGATTGAAAATTGTACATTTTTTAACAGTTGTTTTACATGTCTGACTTGTATTGTTGAATCACAGATAATGTCTCGCTAAATCATTAAAAACTAATTATAATCTAAATGTTGACAATTTTACAAGCAGACTAAAATAAGGTCCACTTAAAATATCTATATTGTATCTTATTTATCACACTGGCTGTCTGTTTCTACTGCTTATCCATTAATGTGAATTAACTGTTGCATTTTCTTCACAAACCTGTTCAGGTCCACTCGCTCCTTCAATTTAATAGATGTTTTTGCTTTCTATTTTTTTTTTCCAGATGATTTGAGCTAATCTGTCCACATACCACCTGGTTACTGCAGCAGTACTCCCTAGGATACTTGTACCTTTGGTTCGAAATTGCTGATATAAAGTACATATTTGACCTTAAGTACACACTTAGCCATTTGCTAATGGACTAATTAAGCCACTAACTCATTTAAATTTATTTTTTTCACAAAAACCTTCAATAAGCTGCATTAAAAGAGAGCAGCTGAGGTCTCAGCTTTACATATTAAGCCACAAGTGGCTTCCAAACTACATGTGTTGTCACCAATCATCTCATACAAACAGATGAAAGCTGCTGTCGAGGGTCAAACTCTACATAGCAAAGATCACTCCATCCAAACAAGGAGAGAATTTTATTATGATTCGCATAAACTCACATAAACAATGTAATGCTATATTGCCTCATATTGATATTGTTTTTGAAAGCAACTGATGAAACTAAAGCTGGCAGATAGTGATGACTACAATCCCCGGAGATCCACAAACTTCCTAACACAGTCCTGCTGACACAGGAAACAGCTTTTGTGTTAGTGAGTGTGAATGTGTACTTCTAGTAAATGAACAGTGAAGCTACACACACACAGAGGCTGGTTCTGCTGCTACTTATCCATCACACTGAAGTGAGCCTAAAACCAAAACATACAGCATCTCTTTTCTCTCACTGTGGCTGCTACAGTCACATTAAATCACTGTTTTATGTTTTTAATATTAAAGATGATAAGGTATGAGAGCTGCAGTCCATCCTGCACAATCAGAATAACACTGGTACAGTGAGGAAACACATTCACAGTTGCACAGTTTAGTCTGCAGATCCTCTGAGGCCCTCTTGTGGAAAAGTGAAAAATGAAGGATTTATGCCAGGATGAAACATCAGTTTTACATTGAGCATGAGTGTATAAATGATCCATAAAGTGCCTTTTGCTCACTGCTGATCTTCCAGCATCTTACAGCCTTGACACTGCATAACACATCATGTCAGACTTTGAATTATGGATCACAAACTGATCTTTTAAAATTAATTCCTTTTGGGTTTTTGTCTTTAATGCCTTTAAGGGGGGAAGAATGGGGAAAGACCTGCAGCAAAGGACCATGGGCAGGAGTCCAACCCACGACCGCTGCATCAGGGAGCTACAGCCCCTGTTCATGGGTCGCCTTCTTATCCGGTTGAGCTACCGGGGCGCCCTCACAAACTGATTTTTCAAATCACTTTAAGTGGTTAGTCAGTTCCAGCACCGACCAGTAAGGGGAGCCACGATTCTTTCTCAAGATGTGACGAAGCTCTGGAGTCTTTCTACCTGAGATCTGACTGACAAACACAGGAGGAGATTGTTCTGCCTTTTGCCGCATTATCCAGTATTTCTCATCACAGTGAATCACATTAGGTTTAAAATATAAACTTGGAGCAGAAAGGTCAGAGTTTCCACAACAGCATCACTGCAGCTGGGAGGTGTTCAGTATCTTTCTCGTGGACACTTCTGCAGGATGTTGGAGGTCCAAATGGGTTTTTGTGCCACAAAGAAATACCTCAGAAAGGGTTAATAAAGAAGATTGTAAGCATCATTCACTGAAATTCTCTAGAAATCTGATTCCAACACAACAATATTTGGGATTTTTAGCTGCCTTTTAGCTAAAAATCCAAAATTAACTGTCCACTTTTCTATTCAAACAAATACGATCCACAAACTGGACAAGATGAGCAAACACTGAGTGTAAAACACTGAGGAAAGAATCAGAGGCTGCATTTTGACTCCTGATTTGTGTGTTTTGAAAGACCCTGAAACTCTACTCCATCTACTCTTTGTCAAATTTAGACAAAATGCATGTGATTTCATACTCGGCTTGTATGTAAACAGACAAGTGACAAATCAAAGGGGAAAAAGTTCTCCCACGTGCCGCCACAACAGCTTCAGTAAGCATCCAAGTTTCTGGGACTCTACCAGAAGGATGAGCACCATTATTCCTAAACATATCCCCTCCATGTAGAGAGCTCCGTCCAATACTTCAGTCAGAAATATCTGAGAGGTGTTTAACTGGGTAGAGATCTGGTAACTGTGATAATCAAAGCATATTACTCAGTTCACGCTCATCCAACCATTGGTTCATTTTATCTCAAATCATCAAATGTTTAGAAGAACTCCTCCTTGACCAGCACTGATTAGCCTACATTTAGTATAGCACAAAATATAGATACTTTAAGGACGTTTGTGTAGTTTTAGCGTAAAGTTGACCATCCATCTGCTTTTTTCCCCACATTAGAGTTTGAGGCGATGTTTGGAAGATAATTTTGTTAAAGATAAAACCCTGAACTTTCCACTGTTATTTCAGATCACGGCATTGATTTAGAAACTGCAACATTGGACCAGTAGATCAAGACGTCTCTAATTATAGGTGAGTTGAGACAGGAAATAAAATCCAATCTTTGAGCACATATTTAAAAAAAAAAAAAAAAAAGATAATGCAGAAGTCAGCTAGTGATATTTTTAACCATGTGTAGCTGCATGTCACAGTAAGACTAAACAAAACACAAAAAATAGTTTTCATGTCACATACTTCGTGACAAAAATGAAAATAAACGTATTTTCATTTAACTTTCATAACTGATAGAGCAGGTAAGACAAGTTGTACCATAAAAACAAAACAACTACTGGAAAGCCTGATTCAAGTAGAGCAGAGTTCTGGTGTTTT